AGAATCAAACTAAATTAAAATTCAAATATGACTAAAATTTACCCATGCTAGTCAAGAAAAATTAATAAACTTTAGATTCCTGCAGCTGGCACTGAAGACATTCTGTCAAAGTGTAGCACCACAGCTAGAAATATCACCTTCTGGGCCAATGCACACCCCCACTGCTTCCTAGCTGTATAACTATGGCTAAATAACCTAATCTTTCAGCTTCCATTCCCTTAAATGAAAATAACAGCTTTCCCAGCAGGTCTCCAAAGGATTAAATGAGACCATATAAGGACTCAGCTGGGGTCTACCACCTTACTCATTCTCATGTGCTCTCCTGCTCTAGCTAAGACTCTCCCATGTTCCCTGGGCCAAGGTTTTTCCCTGGATCTTACTCGGGCCCTCTCCTTGACCCTTTCCAAGAGTAAACCTTCCTGCAGCAGCCATCTCACCACCACACCCGCACATCCAAATCCTATTCCTTTCAAGGCCCAGCTCAAACCTAATCCTCTCAAGCCCAACATCCACACTCTCTCTTCCATAAAGCCTCCTAATTCCCACAGGTCAATGTTTCTCTAGCCTGGCTTTATTCAATCCCCTGGGGAGTTAAAAAAATAAAAAGTTCCTTAAGCCTCAGCCTCAGTCATGCTTTGTTGGTCTGCAGTGTGGCCCACGAATCAGCTATAGAAGTGACCTCTTCAGGCTCTGTAATCCCAGAGCACTTCACCAGTATTTCCCTTGCAGGACTTTTTACTTTCTATCCCACATTTTAATTACATACAAATTGTATTTAAATTAGAAACTCTTGGAAAACAGGACCTAATTTACATCCTCAAGTATCACAAGAACAGTGACTTGACCTACCAGACTGGTCAACTATCTGTTGAATATGGAAGTAAAGAAATAGAATTTCAGTACTTCTCAAATACATGATTCAAAAATATGATTTGAAATAAAAGCCTACTGCCCTGGCCAGTTTGGCTCAGCGGTTGAGCCTCGGCCTGAGGACCAGAGAGTCCCGGGTTTGGTTCCTGCTAGGGGTATGTACCACAAAAAAAAAAAGGTTATATATGAAATAAAAGCCTACCAAAACCTGAAAAACTAACCTATATTCAATAGCTCAGATATTAAGTTCTGCTTGACTTATGTGAACTAGGCAATGTAAAAGAGAAGAAATAACATATCCCCAAAACAGAGGAAACATGATTAAAGTAAGGCAGGTACAAGGTTAATCATGTTTGTGGTCTCCCCACATGTCCATCTGCCTTAAGTTCCCTGAATGGATCATGCTCCCTTATGACTCCCCGCCCCACACCACTCACCATGCTTTGAATGTACACTACAATCTCTGATGTACATTCTTCATCTGGGTCTTATAGAAAATACCTTCTATGATAGAAAGTCTTCCCTTAGGTCAAAGTCCTCGTTTAATGTCCCTCCTCTGTACTCCCCGAACACTTGGTAATATTACCTGTATCATAGTACCTGTCAAAAATACATAATTATTCTGTTTAATCCCTACTGGTTTCTGGCAGAGGGAGACTCCCATCTTTGTAACTCCATCATCTTTTATAATGTATGGCACTTAAGAAGTGTTCAATCAATGATCAATGGATAAATGAATGAATGGGGGAAGGATTTTAATTTCATTTGTAAAAATTAGTGAGTTGATAGCCAAGGTCTCTTCCAGCTTCATATTCTACTAAAATGAAGAATCAATAAAATCAAATGACGATTACATATAATAAAGACTTGGACCCACCCAGCCAGTGAGCATCCACCCATGCACCAAGAGGTCGCCCGTTCGATTCCAGGTCGGGGCACATGCCCAGGTTGTGGGCCAAATCCCCAGTGTGGGACATGCAGAAGGCAGCCAATCGATGTTCTCGCTCATCAATGTTTTTATCTCTCTCTTCCTCTTCCTTCCTCTCTCCCTAAAGTCAATAAAGAAAAAAAATTTTTTTTTAAAGACGTGGACCCATGTTTGGAGTGGATCATTTCTAAATCATAAAATCACAAGTTGCTGATTTATACAAGATTTTATTTATATACTGTTTTAATATTTAAGCCTAAAGATAGTAAATTGCTTTTAAATTTACATAGTTTTAATATTTAAGCCTAAAGATAGTAAATTGCTTTTAAATTTACATAGTTTATTATGGTTGGAAAAAATTTCTCTTCAAAAAGTATTAAGTGCTCATTAGGAATCCTAATTTTAACACAAGGTAATATTCAGTTTACATAAGTAGGTAAAGAACTATAAATATTTCATAACTATGGATAGGTGAATATTAAGGAAATATTTACATTGTGAGGCCTAGATGGTACTAACTGGGTCATTACCCAAAAGAATACTCAGTCCAGAATAAATGCATATTAAAAGACATAGGAGTAAGGTCCATGCAGCTTCTGGCTCAATTCCACTTTCAACCTCAAATAGAGCTATTACTGAAAATAGTCATCTCTGCCATGAAGATGTATAAAAGTAGAGATTTGGCTTTGGAATTTGATTATTTTATTAGTCTTTCAAGGCAATTATATATAACATATGGTAAGTTATTCCAAATAAAATGAAAGTATTTTTGTGAGGACTTTGAGCTTACAATCAACTGGGAAGCTATCGCATTCCTAACCTTGTACCAACAGGTGATCAGGCTATCCAAACAAACTAAACTTTATATATTTTTATTGATTACAGCAAAGTTAAAATTATATATATATATCCATTAATTGTACACATTAATCACTGAATTACTTGATAATTACACATAAACGATTGTACAAAATAATTATTCCAACTTAATGAAAGTAACATATAACAAAACAATGTAATCCACAGTTTTTAAACAAGGCAAAATAATTTTCAAGTTTTTCCTTCTAACTTTGACAGCTTTTTTTTTTTCAATTCTCATCCGAGGATAATTTTACATTTATGTTCAGAGTAGGGGGGGAGAGAAACAGAAACATTGATATGAGAGAGACACATCGATTGGTTGCCACCCCCATGACCCAAACCCGAGGCAGGGACAAACCTCAACCCAGGCATGTACCCTTGGCGGGAATCGAACTCGGGACTCCATTGATTTAAAAAAACAAACAACAACAAAAAAAACACCTTATTTTGAGACTCACTGATGTATGAGACCTTTAAAAAATCAAATACCTTAAAAGGATTTCAATAAAAGTGTTTTCTCTTTAATGTCTTTTTAAAAATGTCATTGCATTCTAGCCCTGGCCGGTTTTGCTCAACGGTTAGAGCCTCGGCCTGCGGTCCAGAGAGACCCCGGTTCGGCTCCCGCTAAGGGCACGTACCTTGGTTGCAGTTTGTCCCTGGCCCTGGTTGGTCGTGCGGGTGGCAGCCACTCGATGTGTCCCTTTCCCGTTGATGTTTCTCTCTTTCTCTCTCCTTCCTCTCTCCCTCCCACTCTATCTGAACAAAAAATGGAAAAAATGTCCTCGGGTGAGGATAAAAAATATAATAAAATAAAAATAAATAAATAAAAATGTCATTGCATTCTAATGAGTAATATAACAAGTATATACAGTAAGTGTGGTAAGGTCAGAGAAGGTCTCCTGCCCTTCAAGTTCCTGAAACTACTAAGTTGCTTTGACATCAAGTGTCATTTCAAAACCATGTAAACTAAAGAGAAGAAACAGTGTTTGGATTAAGACAGATGTTGATGCAAACTTGTTTTTCACGTATAAAGGGGTAATTTTTGCTGTATTTGGGTGCAGAAAACTCTGCCTCTCCCTAACGTGTATTATACAGGAAGATTCCAAACACAAGTGCTTTGCAAACACAGTAACAAGAACTAGATCAGGCTTCCCTGCGCCGAGTTCTACATTCAAGGACCAAAACCATCAATTTTATCCACGTCTTCAGAAAAAGGGCTCCGGGAGAAAACAGTCATGAAAAGCTTCAAGGTAAAACTTGCTCAGCAACAGAGTGCTCGGATCCCAAAAGTTTCATCCCAAATTAGTCATCCACGCCTACATCCCAGACCACCCCACCTTCTGTACACATTTATTAGATGACAATACTCTAAAGGACTCAGGACTCAAAAGCAAAACCCTCAGAGTTCAACAAACACCCCACGCAGGGGGTAAATCCATGGCCAAGAAACTCCCTACCACACCAACAGCCCGCCAAGCGCCCCACGCTGCAGTGAGACGCGCACTCACCCACGCTCATCTGGGAGACCCAGACCTGGGGTGTTTAAAATCTGGAGCGCGATAGACTCGGTTAGTCTCCGGGAAAAGGTTCGTACGCCCACCTCACAGCTCCCTTAGGAGCATGCTGGGCGCTGCCATTTTGACAAGAAGGCGGGCCTTGCCCCGGAAGCCCCTTAGTCGGTAGCCCTGAGCGGAGCCGTAGCGCCAGGGAACCCCTCACCCGTCGACTCCGCGCCCGCCACGCCCTAGTCTCTGCATGCGGCGAGTTGCCCGCACTCGGACTCAACGACAGGGAGCGACAGAAACAAAGACCTAAGCAAAGGGACCCTGGAAACCCGCAAGGCCTCTCAGGCAGTGCTGAGGGCAGCCTCCACAAGAGGGGCGGGGCATCTGCAGCCAGAGGCAGGGCGTCCGCGCCAGGGGCGGAGCGACCGTAGCCACGCCCTCGGTCACCCGGGCAACGGGGCCTCAGGTCCCGCGGAGGTGCAATGGGTCACTTTGCTGAGAAACTGGTTGTCCACTTCGTGACCCCGCCCCCAACTCATTGTCCTCTCCGTGACCCCCGGCGGTTTGCGAAGGCATCCTTTGACCTGCTGCCCGCCTTCATGCTCGAACCTCGCACGTCCCTCCCCAAGGAGCGTGGCTCGTTGCACAAGCGGCCCCCCAGGTCCCGTCCCCATGGCCTAGCTCTGCGCCCTCGGCGGGTCCTCCTCGCCGCCCTCAGCCTGCTCCCAGCGCTGCTACAAGCCGGAGACTTCCCGGCGGGGCGGCGAGCAGGAACGCCTTCTTCGTGAGCGCCTCCCCCTTAGCTGCCCGAAGCCCGCCTGCGCCGGCCTCGGAAGTCGCGAGTGACGCCGGGCACCGTCCGCAGCAGCCCGAGGCGGGGACGCTGCTCACCCAGGCTGAGGCCGGGCCCACTGTTGAGACCAAATCCCACTACGTTTTATGTCGTGGTTTTGCATAGGCTGAAATTTTGCGATTGGGTTAAACTCGGGACCTCCGCGAAGAGGACCCACTTTTTTTTCTTTCCAAAATGGCAGCCTCCAGCCGCGCACAAGTGTTAGACCTGTACCGAGCGATGCTGAGAGAGTGCAAGCACTTCAGCGCCTACAATTACAGGTGACCCGACGGCAGTGGGGGCCGGGAGGTCCGGGGAATGTCGGGATGCGGGGAGCCCCTGTCCCTCTCCGGGGGGCCTCGGAGCCGTGACGAAAAGGCTCTGCCACCGATGAGCGTACCCCCGCCGCGAGCCTGGTCCTCTGGGAAAAGCGGGGGGCTGCCTTTCGTTGTGTCAGAGAAGATAAATCTTGTGACGTGTTCCCCCAAGTCGGATACTCTGGGAGCATGGTTAGTGGTGTGTTTCTGCCCTAGGAAGGTGGACGTGAAAGCTGCAAGCGCTTAAGTGAGGACCAGGTTATTGCATATGTACAACTTCCCACAGAATTGGAAGAGTTGACAGAAGTGGCCAGTCAGTGACACATGTCCACAAGCTGAAGGCTCACTCTGCCTACTCCTTTCATTTCCTAGGTGTCTTAATTAGCCTTTTTAATTGCAGGAATCAAATACGTTCCATTTGGCATAATTGGTGGCAGCAGGGGTGGGGAATGTTGGAAGGAAGAGACACAAGTAGCAGCAAAGGAATAAAAGTCTCACAAAAACTTCAGGAGCTGAAACGTTGATCCTGGCCTCACCAGATGGGCATCCACCTTTTAGGCTATTAACAGCAGCAGGAGAACGAAAGTCTGAAGTCTTACATCCTTAATGGAGCGCATAACTTTTTCCATGCTGTTCCATTCTCCTATTTGCTGTTGAGTCCTTCATTCTTACTCTACTTATATCTATATCTTTTGTGTACTTAGGAGCTTCAGCTTTCTATTCTGGTACCTTATGACTTCTGACCCATCACTGTTGTGTGTATCTTAATGGAATTTTCTCTCTGCGTCCTTTTAGATTTGTTATCTTCTAGTAACTAACTACTTGGTCTTCTCTGCATTTGAAACATATTACCAAAACAAGAATCTGATAAGGCCAGCTCATTTCATTGCACCAGTTCTCACTTTTGGTGATTGGCCAGCCTGTTGATTGGGTTTCCTACCAGCAAAGCCTACTCCTAGAACAGACCTGGATAGGTAGTGCCCCCTCCCTTTCTGTATGAGCTGGCAGGCCCTATAATGGGTAGACCAGTACAATCTTGGCTGTCCAACGGAACACCAAACCTCTCAAGCAATGACTGGCTAATTTTTAGATATGTGCATGGAAAGGAAACTCATCCTATAAATTTACAAACAGCATCTAAGTCACACTGATAAGGTTACAGCCACTGGTCAAGTAAGTAAAAGAAACATTCCATGGGAGTACATGGTTTTACTTAATGAGTTTGGTTTTGGAAAGTAACATTTGTAAATAGTAATAAAAGTAATCAAGTACTTAACACCAAAAACTTAACCAAGTCTGTTGAAGGAACCCACAAAATATGGAAGTGAATAAGTGGAAATCAATCATTTTCACCAGTTTGAAAGAAGATATTTTGTCATTCAAATTTACTGAGAATTAACTAGAACTGGGAATCAACACACAGGTCACACACCCAAGAGACAGCAGCAGGGCAGATTTGGGAACACATGGTAAAAAAAAAAAAAGTCAAGGGGGAGCCCTCAGAATATAGAACCTTGGACAAGTCACTCAATCTCAGTGTTTCAATTTTCTTGCTTGCAAAATTAGCTTGTTGGACTAGGTAATCTCTAAGGAGCCTTCCATTTCTAAAATTCCATTTGGAAATGACTTATGAGCCAGGTGATGAAATGTACATATAAGGCTGTTTTTTCAAGTGAATAAATGCTAAGTCAACAGGGGTAAAATGCAGAAAGTCCTTCAAGGCTGTACGTGATAGGCAGAAAATTGAAAATGAGTTTCAGTATGAGCTACTATAAGGTAATATATATTTAGAAAATAATTATCCAAATTATACTTTGAGTAATGCTTTTGAGCTTAATTTATTATCTTCATATAAATGTATTATCCAGAGGAATCTGGTAATCATTTTATACTGTTTCCCGAAATCATGGACCTAAAACCTGAGATTCCCACTAGTGTTATTTCCTAAGATAATAAACTTCCTTGTTATAAAATATGTCTTCTGGCTTTCAAAGACAGCCCCTCCTCCCTGTATTCTTTTCTCTCTGGGATGCCATTTAATCACCCTTGTCTTGGGTTTCTCCTCTTCCTTCACGATTCAGTTCAATCATGACCCTAGGACATCGGTTTTCCTGACTTTTCTCATTCCACAGCCCCCAATCCCATCTAAATCAGTCTGTTCCTATGTATTATTTTACTTCATTGCTTCCAAAACACTTACCCTTACCTGAAGACTACTTTGCCCAGTGTCATACCAGACCCTGGAGATAGAAAGATGAGAGCTTTGGGTTCAGCAAGGCACTTACCATCAATGGCTTTTTTTTTTCTTTTACAACCCTCTGTAGGACAAACTTATAGAAGTCATTTTCACAAACTGTGGTAAGTTCTATGACAGGCATGCATAAGTTATAGAATCAAGAATGCTTCCCAGCCCTGGCCAGTTTGGCTCAGCGGTTAGAGCATCAGCCTGCGGTCCAGAGAGACCCGGGTTCGGTTCCTGCTAAGGGCACGTACCTCAGTTGCAGTTTGTCCCCGTCCCTGGTTGGGTCGTGCGGGTGGCAACCACTCGATGTGTCCCTTTCACATCGATGTTTCTCTCTCTCTCCCTCCCTCCCTCCCTCCCACGCTATCTGAACAAAAAATGGAAAAATGTCCTCGGATGAGGATATAAAAAATAAATGCTTCCCAGAAGATGACACTGGATCAAAGGCATGAAATAGCATAGTATGCTTAGATTTTGACAGAGAGCAGGAAATACTGCTAGAGAGTAATGTGTGGTTCAGGGAGTGACAGAAAATGAGACTCAGGTTAGAAAGGGTCACATATTAGAAGGCTGAAGGGCCATGCTAAGGAACCTTATTCTTAGTTAACAGTCAATAAAGAGCTTAAGCCATAAAGTGATATGGCCAAATTTGTACTTTGGGTAGATCACTTTGGCAGCTATATAGAAGATAATTTTGAAGGTTAGATACAAGAATACCAAATGGGAGTTGGTTACAATAGTGTTGAAGAAAGATTAGGGCCCTAATGAGGGCAGGAATAGTGGAATATAAAGAAAAAAGACATATTTAATTAGAAAGTAAAATTGTTAGGACTCAAATGATTGGATGCAGGAATAAAAAATAGAATCCAAGCAGAGTCTAGAATGACGTCCAGGTTACCAGTCGTCAAGCTAAGGATGGAGAGGTTAATTGTAAAAGTTGTACCATTAACTGACTTAAATACTGAAATAACTGCTCTTATGGAGGGAAGACTTTTGAGTTCAGTTTTGGGGCATCTTGAATGAATGTCACCTGGGATGCCCAGCAGAGGTAGTAATTCACAGGGGTCTGAAGCTCAGGGGAGCAATCAGGGCTGGAGTTGTCATCACCACTGACTTGCTAGGTGAGTCCTTTCACTTCTCTGTTTTGGAGTTTCTTAATCTATAATATGAAGGTATTAATTTATCTCATAGAATGGTAAGATTTAAGTGAGGTAATTCATGTCATGCTTAGAATTGTGCCTGGCACAGGTAATAAGTGGAATTTTATATGGTAAGTAGAATTAAAATCTTATTATTAGGTGATATTTCCAGGGAAAGTATTTAAGGCAATGGTTCGCAGCTAGGACAATTTTATTTGACAGTGTCTGGAGACATTTTTAGTTGTTACAACTTGATAAGAATATGCTTCTGTCATCTAGTAGTTAGTAGTTAGGGATGCTCCTAAACACAGGACAGTCCTCATGACAAAGAAGTATCTGGCCTGAAATGTCAATCATGCAAAGATTGAGAAATCCTAGTTTATGGTGACATTAGTTGGCTTAGGATGCTCTTCTAGAGAACATCAAATTTTAAGGTGTTGGCCAAAGAAGAACCCTTAACAGAGAACAAGAAGAAACAGTCTAAGAATGTGGTCCTCAAACCTACCAGTCTGCTTACAGCGTGTTGGCTCTTGGGTCTTGAGTTCAGCTAAGAAAGAATTGAGAGCCAAGAACCCTAGCACAAGAGGAAATTTATTTAGCATGCAAAATGAAAGTATACTTGGAAAGAATTGAGCGGGCTGCTCAGAGAGCTGCCTTGACTTTTCAGAAAGAAAGTCACAGAGGCAGGATAAGTGAGCCGTGCCCAGCTGGTGTGGCTCAGTGGATTGAGTAGTGTCCCATGAACTGAGAGGCCCCAGTTTGATTCCTGGTCAGGGCATTTGGCCGAGTTTCGGACTCAATCCCCAGTGAGGGGCATGCAGGGGGCAGCCAATCAATGTATCTCTCTCACGTCAGTGTTTCTATCTCCCCCTTCCTCTCTGTCTTTAAAAAAAAAAAAAAATCAATAAAACCATATTTAAAAAAGAGTAAGTGAGCCAGCTGGGCTGCATGAACTCAGGAAACGAGTTACAGAAGCAAAAGAAGGGACCTTGGAGACAGGTTCGGGGGTTAGCCCAGGACAAGCTGCCACTACCTGCTGCTCACCTGGTTGCAAGTCTTGTGAGGACCCTTAATGCTTAGGAGAAAAAAGTGTGGGTGTGCTCTAGAGAGAGAGTGTGCACTGCTTTCTTCGTCTTAGGGGTTTTTATCTGTTATCTAAAGGCAGGAATTTTATGGGAAGTCTAAGGAGGTTCTCAATAGAATATTCATCAGCTTTCCAAGTGTGTCCTTTAATGTACTAATTTATCAAAGTGAGCATATAGGGTAAGGATCGTGGCCTTTACTGATTGGTCAAAGGCCAGAGTAAAGGATCATTGGTTATTACATCTGCATCTGGTCCTGAGGTCAGCCATGGCATCACTTTCTTTGGTTTTGCTGATTTTCTAGGCCTGGAGCTGAAACACAACTGAGATCTAAATGTTCTTTGACCAAAACTCTGTCTTTGTGGTCAACATACCCCAAGACTTTGTTCCAAAGATTATTTGATGGTGATCAAAACCCCATTGTCCTGAGGCCTTTATGCTTAAGGGAGTGGGCATGCAAGGAAAAAGGAGGCAGGTGAGTAAGGGTGCTAAATGAGGCTG